ATTCAATGATCACAAGCCTAAGCTGATAGGTTAATGGTGTAGGCCTACATAGGATGACAGGCCCAGGGCTAGAGTAGTTCTCCATCCCACAGTAGATGTCACCCCTCAACTTGTATGTCAGTGCTTGAAATTCCTCATTACAAATATCTTTTTCTTTTTTCCTCCAAATATTTTAATTTATTTTCTTTTTTAGAGAGAGAGGAAGGGAAAGGGAGAGGGAAACATTAATTGGCTGCTCCTGCACGCCCCCTACTGGGGATCGAGCCCTCAACCCCGGCATGTGCCCTGACCGGGAATCAAACTGGTGACGTTTCAGTGCATGGGAGATGCCCAAGCAACGGAGCTACACCGGCCAGGGCACAAGTATCTTTTTATGGTCTAGGCTCTGTCCTCTATTCAAATACAAGTCTGTTGGGAGTAAGTTTAATTTTTCAGATCCTTTCTAATGTAACAAGTCAGAATGGGAGAGAGAAAGAAACCAATCGTGATGGAGATGTGGGACCTGAGCACAGTGTAGCCAAGGAAAAGCAGGCTGAGAGGGAGGGAGGGCACTGGATGGCCCTGGAAAATCAGGGAGCAGAAAGGAGGGTCCCTAGGGCCTGGGAAGTGGTACAGGGAGAGAAGGGTCACAAAAGGGTGATGAAACGCTGGGGAGAAATACTATCGATAATTGCATTTCACCTAGTAACAGCCTTGCATGGAGCCACTCTATAATGTTCATTAAGCAATGTGCTCAGTATTATAGAAGCAAATGAAACAAACATGGCTCTCCCCTGCTGGGAGCCCCCCCACCCCCACCCTCCACCCCAAACCCAGTGAACCACGATGATTCCAATCAAGGTTGTCAGACTCCCTGATGCCAGCAAGACTTCGCTCATGCAAATGAAGATAAAGTATCCGACTAAGCGCCCTAATTTTTAAATAGCTTCAAAGTTTTGCCTTTATTGGGCCGTCAAATTAACCATGGTCACAACACTGCTTCTAAGGAGAGTGGGCCCCTTCCCCATGATCGGGAAGGGATGCCAGTTTCCACCATGTGCCCTGCCCTTTGGAAAGAGCTCCCATCCATCCATCCATCGCCGCCACCCCCGTGAGCGCCGAATCTTTCACAGGGGTGGACATAAAGCCACGTGCCCTGAGGACAATGGGCAGTCCCCTTCCGCCCGCCGCCTCCCTGCCTTCCACGGGGGGCTGTGTAGCCTTAACGTCTCCCTGGGCCCACGTACCCTTGAGAGGAGTCTAAAGTGTGTCTATACCTCAGGAGCAAGAGCGATCTCTCTAATAGTCGCTGGCTTGGAAAGAATAACACTTATAAAGAAAGTTAATTATGTGAATTAAACGCAGCTTGTTTCTCTTTTTGAAGTACTTTTTTTTTTTTTTTTTCATGCCTGGAGGAGGGTGATTTACAGACACATTTGTCTCTCTTTAGAGAAAATTAATTCCAGTTGGTGTTCAGGGCAGACATGGAGAGAAAGGGGACCCTCCTTCCTCGTGGCGCTGACTGCAGGCCCACGCCGCGCCTCTGTCCACGCGGCGGTGACCAGGGGCCTGGGGCTGGCTCCGACACATTTGCTGCCATCCAAAATCTCTAGTATCAACTTCTCAGCTCCACTGTCATCCCTTAGATGAAGCAAACTCCTTCTTTTAAAGATGATTTTCAGGATAACAGGGGAGACGACACCACATCCCCAACAGGTGAGCCGAGCTTCCTAAACACCCAGCTCCTGTCTAGTGCATTAGGCCATATGCTTTGAGCCATAATATATTAATTCAGCTTTTCAACATGAATGATAATAACAGTCATCATGTGCTGGGTACTCACCACAGCCAGTCATTCTGCTAAATATTTGAGGAGGATTATCTCATTAAAGGCCCAAAACCACCCTATGCAGTAGGTGCCATTATTACTTCCAGACTTCCTTACACAAAAGTCGGGGCGCAGAGCAGCTGCTGCAGCCCCCTGGAGCGTCAGGCTCCCCTCATCCAAAGCACACCAATGTCAAAGATATTTAGGGCCAGGACATTTGCACCGAGAAGCAGAAAACCCTTTCTCAGTTTACGTATTTATTTTCCAAGGCTGGTTCTACAAATCAAGTAGCATTCTTTGTTCAATCTCCCTAAGAGTGTGCAGAAATTAAGAGTTCAGAAAAGAAAGGATTTCCCCTTCTTGAAAAATCTATTGCAACTTTTTTTTTTTTTTTTTGGTGGGAAAAGATTGTCCTTTGACTCCTACCCATTTCCTGAGGCCTATAGGAATAAACCTTTATGTACTTAAAGTTATACAGAAAGTAGCATAAAATTNTTTTTTTTTTTTTTTTTTTTTGGTGGTGGAGAGAGGAAGGGTGGGTGGTATTATGTTAAAACTGCAATTGTACCCAGATGCTTTAAGAGTACATCGAGGTAAGTACAGACGGATTTCTAGTAAAGCAAACTACCCCTGGAAGTGATCTAATGTACAAAGCAACCCCTCTGATGATAAGATGAAAAGCAGAGGCCCGGAGACATTAAAGAGCATGTTTGGAATCATCCAGAGAGAGGCAGTGCCAGCAATGACTCGCAGGTCTCCTGATTATTTACTCAGAACGCCTTCCACTTCTCCATTCCGCCTTTAAACACAAGACCAGATGGAGCGAACCAGACTGCAGAAACATAGCTTTCTAATAATAATAAACCAGCCAGGCATTATTTAGTGCCCTTCCTTCGAGAAGGAGACGTGCCCCAGAGTTGACGTGTCCCGTGTGGTTCTGATGAAGACGATGCTGCCTGGCAACCGTGTGTCCACCCCAGGCCCTGCCTGCCCTCCTTCGCATCTGTAGTCGTCACTTGAAAGGCACAGGTTTCCTTAAAAGTATCCACCCTGGCAGCAAAGGACATAAAAAATAAAACGGCCCCTTCCTACCCACATTCAGAAATTACGTGCGTGGAAACCACCAGGCGGACATGAAATAGACAAATTTTCCATCCGGGATTTGGCAGCTTTGCTGAAAGTTCAACATCACGGTTAACAACCTCGCCACATTATTTGCAAGACAAAGAATTACACCCTAGGCCAATGGCTCTTCTGTGGGAAGGGGAGGCTGGGCATTCTCCAAGGGTGCTGCCAAAAATGATGGGAGAGTCTCTTCCCCCTCTCTCCTCAACCTGCCTTTGAAATAGGTTAAAAGGCAAAGAATAGCAGGGAATTATTCGTAGAGATCCCAAATAATCCCAACTGGGTAATTAGCTAAAAAATAAGCAGTCGGAATGTCCTTTCCTAACAGCTTAGAGAAGAAAGCAGGCTGAAGAGAAGGGAGTTCCCAGTTCCGATGACTTGCCAGTCCCTTGAAAAACAAAGACTGTTTTTCACTTGGAGTGGACATCTTCGGTTTGTGCTTGCCCAGGTTCCTCCCTGCCCTCCTCAGGTATCATGACTTGGATCCTCCTGTGGAGACCACTCATCTCCCACTCTTAGGCCCTATGGTTCAGGGGGTGAGGGCCACACTATGATCCCTCCCCTCCCAGGGCATTGGGGTGGGCGTCGGGTACCACTCTGGCCAATTTGATGTCCCATCCCCCAATCCCAGTTATTAGTTCTAGAATGGGCAAAAGATCCAAATGGATCATATGAGATTCAGGAATATGGGTGGAATTACTGGGAAAGAAAAATTGAGCTGATAGGCTATCTCAGAGCTCTGGAGGGGGTAGAGGGGCAAGGGCACAGGTGGAAGAACTTACCTGAGAATGCACCCAATGTAGTCACTGTGAAACCATTCTGCTCATGTTGTAGGATTGAGCAAAAGAATAAATACACTGATGCTATTGGGAACCCCAGTCCTCATTGTGAAAAAAGGGGGCATATAAATACAGCAGGGGGAGGGGAAGAACCTTGTGATGTTGAATTAGCATGATGGGATGACTTCATACCATTTTGTTTCCCATCTCTATCCACAGACCAAGTCTAAAAGAAATTGTATCCCAGTAGTAATGAGCATCCTTAGTGCCCAGGTCTTGGTTTCTAAACACAGTTCCCCATTAAAAAGAACCAAGGTTCCCTGAAGACATGACTGATTCCAGGGCTAGGGCAGGGAAAGCACAAGATAATCCTAGAAATATATTTGTGCCAAAAGGCAAGGAAGTGCTTAAAGACTAATGGCGACCTGTCAAAAGGACATAGGAACCAGACAGAGGGGCTCCCATTGACCACATGTGGGGCAATGTGAGCATCAAAAACAATAATGACAGCAATAAATTTTAACACATCAAACAGAAATAACAACCCATGAGTCCACAGTGATATTTTAAAGTGTGAAAAATAGAGAAGACTAGGAATGAAAGATCTCTATGGAAGGTTGACAGTGCTATCCACAGGAAGATAGATCAGAAAAATCTGGTATCTGCCAGATCTTACCATTGGAAAGGTACCTTTTTCTTTTTGAAATTAATAAATAATCTGAGAGCAGGTGAACACCTGTTCTTGCCAAATCTGTCACCAATACTTTCAGCATCCATTGATGATTCCTGTCTGAATCAGTTATTACACTGGGGGTGGGGGCTGTTATAATGGCATCACCCATAATCGGACAAATGGACATTATGTGCCTTCTGATGTGACACATAAAAGTACACAACATCATCTATGTTGTGATCTTGCCAAAATGTTTTACTGAATCTAAGCACTGAGGGAAGAATCAGACAAATTCAGAAAATAGAACATTCTACAGAACCCGTGTCCTAGACTCTTCAAAATGATCACCATGAATAACCACAACAACATAAAAAAGGTAGGGGACTGAGACATGACAACTTGTTGTTATATGTGAAACTTTATTGAGCTCTGGATTTAAAAAACAATTGTATAGAGGAAATTTGGGTGGATAATTGGAGAATGTTTAATATGGGCTGAACTAATATTTGTGTGTACATGTGTATGTATGTTTGTACACATTCTGAATGAGTAAACAAGTGTCATAATATATTTCAGTCCTCTTGGAAGAACACAAGAAAACATGACTTCAACTCACCTCCCCAGTAGCATAGAAGTCATTCTCTTGGTACTCAGGAAACAACTGGAAGAACTGAAGTAGTGCACTGCAAAAAAGAAAAGCAAGAAAAATCACATGGAATTGGAAAGGCCTCATGTACCCAATCCGAGCCTTGCGCAAGAGGTTTCACATTTGAGATAAGATGCCATTATGGCGTAAGCTCCTGCAGGCATCTTTTCCAGAGTCTCATGTGCATAACACTCCATACTCTGTGGATGGTTAGAAAATACCTGTGGTCTTACTTTGTGATACTAAGAAGTTGAGACAACTGGGCAGGTTTCCAAATCTCTGGGTTAGCAACTTGGGTCATTTACCTTGAGCCAAGTGACACAGGCTTTCACCTTTTATGCAGCAATTCTTGGAGGCAGTTCTGCAAACCTTATGACCCTATTAACCTGGGTTCATGTGAGGTAATGGGAACCTTCATTGCTTACCAACCTCTCCCTGTGGGTAACCCTGAACGTTTCTAATGGGGATCCCAGAATTTCAGTGTTTTACTTTATTTATACATGTATATACATGTATATATATATATATATGTATATATATATATATACACATGTATATATATACATATATATGTTTTTATTGATTTCAGAGAGAGGAAGGGAGAGGGAGAGAGAGATAGAAACATCAATGATGAGAGAGAGTCATGGATCGGCTGCCTCCTGCATGCCTCTACTGGGACTCGAGCTCACAGCCCAGGTACTTGCCCTGACTGGGAATTGCACTGTGACCTCTTGGTTCATAGGTCAACGCTCAACCACTGAGNACATGTATATATATACATATATATGTTTTTATTGATTTCAGAGAGAGGAAGGGAGAGGGAGAGAGAGATAGAAACATCAATGATGAGAGAGAGTCATGGATCGGCTGCCTCCTGCATGCCCCTACTGGGACTCGAGCTCACAGCCCAGGTACTTGCCCTGACTGGGAATTGCACTGTGACCTCTTGGTTCATAGGTCAACGCTCAACCACTGAGCCACGCCAGCCAGGGAGAATTTCAGTGTTTTAATAACCAAAGAACAGAAGAGATAATAAAATGACTGTCCTCTAAAGGAAAACACCAAAAGGCCTAGCTATGGAAGAAAATGTACCATGGCCTCTAGGCTCNGTTTTAATAACCAAAGAACAGAAGAGATAATAAAATGACTGTCCTCTAAAGGAAAACACCAAAAGGCCTAAATGTACCATGGCCTCTAGGCTTTAAAAAAAATTACATTTACTTAAGAATGCCAAAGCCACTTGGGTGAGTTATGCTGAAAAAGATTTAAACAGACTCAAGGAAGCAAAACCTTGTGAAACTCAGAAGCCCTATGAATGTTTTCACCCAGCTCACAATGCCTGAGAAGCCAGGCAGGGTTTTAGTTCCAGCTTTCTGCTGAGGGACTTCAAGCCATGAACCACCCAGAAAAGATAAAAGGCAAGGAGGCCCTGCGAAATCAGGAGGAGGGGAAATCTCAAGGGCTACAGAGGCAAAAGTGGGTCATTATAGTCACCATGATCCTGGCTCTACTTAATTTTCAAAGGCTCCATAAAAATCCACCATGAAACACAACTGCAGAGTTTCGGTGTATTTCTCTATTTATTACTTATAATAACTAAAATCTTTGTAGCGACTAACCCTGGGAAACTGCATTATATAGCTTCCATGCTAGTGGGGACGACAGCTGGCTTTGAAGCAGAGATAAAAATAGGGGTTTTCCTCTACCCTTCCCCCTCTAACCTTTAGGCTAAAAATGACTTCCCTTCCTCTCTTCCTGCTAATTGGAAAGGCAATAGGTAATTTAACGTACTAAATTTCAGTGATGCCATATGCCTTAGCTTAAAGCTTATTTGCTTGGAGAATTTGTCGGAGAGTTGTTAGGGTTGGCAGATTTTGCATGTAAAAATACAAGACACCCAATTAAATTAGAATTTTAGATAAGCAACACATAAGATTTTAGCATAAGGATGTCCCAAATATAGCATGGGTCATACTTAGATTTTTTAAAAAATTATTCATCATTTATCTGAAATTCAAGTTTAACTGGGCATTCTGTACTGTATTTGGCAATCTTAGTTGCTTCTAGCTTGAAGGATGCCAGGGTTCTCTAGCTCACATGTCCAAAGCGAGGCCTCCCTTGAGGAAGTTATCAAAGAGTTTTAGCTTCACAGTAAGATCAGAACAAAAAGTGGCTAATAATAGCAAGCCCTCAGTAGGTCTTTCTTAAGTGGGGGTGAAAAATAAAAAAGGTAAATTTAGTGAGTTAGATTTACATATGGCATTAGCTCATTTTACTGTGTTTTAGTCAAGAACTCTTCTTTGATGAGGGTTTGCTTAAAAATGTAACCTAGAATTATGGCCACATAAAATTTCAAATTTTAGAAGCAGAAAATGTATAGTACATCATGTACACAGGTGTATTTGTGTGCATGCGTGAGCACTCACTCCACGCATGTATTCAGGTGCCAGGAAACATGCCTCTTCCAGGCGATTCCATTTGACAACCTCGCTGGCTTTGAGCCAAGACCCTCTCTAATAATTACAATTTAAGTCAAAAGGCTGCCTGGTGGTGGAAAGGTGCATTAAAAGAAAACAGGAAGAAACAGAGCTTGTAAGAGAGAATGACTAGAAGAAAACTACTCTTCAGACTCAAAAGAGGAAGATGGTGGGTTCCGGGCAGAGAAGGTGGGTGGAAATGATAATAGTCCAGAGACTGGAAGATGCACTGGGATTGGTCAGGTCTCATGGCGTCAGAGGCATAATAAATACAAGATGCTCAGCAACAAAAATCTTGGTGGTTTTGTTCTGTTGACACGGACGGGGCCCACCCTCTGTGTTCATTCATTCCACCTCTGGTGTGGCTGGGCCATGATCTTCCCCAGCCCGTCAGGATCAGGCCACGTTCTCATTTAATACATGAAACCTGTTCATAGTCCCATTGCTGTGAAACGTTGTGTAGCAACAGATATTATTTTCCACACACTCCGGCATGTGGAATAGAATGATAGCACCACTCCCACTTGGCTGTGAGAGAGTAACATCAGGCGCATCGCAGGAGCAGGGGCTGTGGCCTTGCGGGCTGCATGCCCAGCCCAGGAACCGTGTCCAGCACACAGCAGGCAATTGCTAGACAGTGGTGGAAGGAGCGGGGCACCAGCTGATAAACTCCAAGTCCAAGTTAGTCCGTTTATTATGCTTTAGTAAATTTATTTATTTTTCCTAGGCCAGGGAGGCATTGTGGCTCAATGTCACAATTCAAGTACGAAAAAAGAAACAAAGGGGAACACTTCAACATCTTGTTAGTGAAAAGGTTTCGTTTAAAACACACAGGAAAGCAGCCTGAATGTCAGTGGCCGACGCCCCTCGAGGAGTCTTCTCCTTACAGCCGGACACTATTAATAGTCAAAAGAAACAAGATTTTAAGGAAAGAAAGATGGTTTTCAAAGGGAGAAGAGGAAAGGTTTGCTCTCTCAACCTGCAGTAGCCCATTTACAGGTTTCAAAGTGACTTTTTTATTCCAACCACCCATCTGGGGGGCTGGAGAGAACAAATAAGGAGTGTAAGCCAGAAAGGGAACAGCTGAAGTCAGTTTTCTGCACTACCCTTGATTAGCTATTTTCCAGTTCTAAGAGCCTGAAGCGAAAAGAAAAACAGCTATAAACAATGGATGCTTTGAAATAGGTTCTCTTTACATGTCATGCAAGAGGAGATGTACCACATGTCAGCAGTAAATATCCGCTCGGAGGGTCAGCTGGAAGCTGTGACCGTCTTGGGGGGAGGGGAAGGAGAGACAGAAAGGGAATGGCAGGGTTGCGACCCCCTGGCTTAGAGGGGATTGATGTGTTTCTTTAATATAGAACCTCCGCCCTCAGGGTGTTTGCTAGTTAAACAACTAGGCTGGTTTGGATTTAAACCAAAAGGGAGCCCACAGGACTAAATGAGAAAGACATGGAGCTGAGCCCACTTAGAAGGACAGCCACTGAGATTCAGTCTGTGCGGGGAGGGGTGTGCGAGCCAGGCCGGGGCGGGGGCAGCTCTGCCAGGACCTGCCCAACCTGCTCCCGGGATCCACTGTGCCTGGAAACATAAGTGTGGGGTCCTATGCATCCCCCCGGAAACTGAGTGGAAGTGTTCAAATAATGGGGCATGTGGCAAATGAGGTGTAGGAGAAAACAGCCACATTCTGCTCCGGGCTGCAAAGCAGAGGAGAGAGCCCTGTGTCTGGGAGAGAGGCGGGGAGGCTCCTGTTTCCTCTCCCCCTCCACGCCCGGCCACCTGGGGGACAAAGAATAAAACGGAAGGCTTTTGTCACAGATGAAAAACTTCTGGCTCTATTGGATTCACTTTCACTTTTGGACCTGGTGGCAGTTTGCTCACCGAGTAATTAGCAGAGTGAGTGTTTGGGGGAGGCTGGGGGTAGAGGAGCTGGTTAACTCTTTCTGGCCACTGGGATTCTTTTAGAGAATTATTATAAAGAGTGGTGGCCTAGTGACTGCAAACGACTCAAGTTGGTCGCTAGGAATAATTTACAGGTTGGAAAAATGTGAACAAATATGAAAGGTCACTTGCTTTTTTAAAAAAATGTACTAAAAATAGTTGTAAAAATGTAGGGAAAAGAAAGGAAGAAATTATATACACACACACACACACACACACATACACGGTTTGATCAGGCTTACAACTTTTCATTTTCCATCTTTTTTTCTTTTTTTTAGTAAAATAACTTTGTAAAATGGAGGGAAGAGACTAGCTAAGGAGCTGAGCTTTCAGCCTGAAAAGTCATAAGAAGAGAATGAAAAAACTGCACCTGAAGGCCCTGAAAGGAAGAATCCTGGGAGAGAAAACAGGCATCCGGGAGGATGCTGGTCCTGGGAGATGCGGAGTCAAAGGCCACACTGGACGGCAGGCAGACACCTCTCAGGCACCTGGCTGAAAGGTTTGAAGCTCACCTTGGGCTGAATGATTCTGCTCTATCTCCACTGTTTGTTGAAGGATATATGTTACCAAATTACAGTTACGCCTTAAGATTTCAGCTCTCCTTGTTACTTCCTCTGCTGGCCACTTTATCAGTTATCAGTGAACATGTAACAAAGTGGAAAATAGATCGTGCATGTGCATGTGGGTGCATGTGTGCATGTGCGTGCCGATGCACGAACTCCTCATGTACAAGAATTTTTAAAATGTCTTTAGGCCCCGCCAGCGTGGCTCAGTGGTTGAGCATCGACCTAGGATCCAGAAGATCGCGATTCGATTCCCGGTCAGGGCACAGGCCCGGGTTGCGGGCTCGATCGCCAGCAGGGGGCGTGCAGGAGGCAGCCCATCAATGACTCTCTTGTCATTGATGTTTCTCTCTCTCTTCCTCTCTCTGAAATCAATAAAGATATATATATATTTTTAAAATGTCTTTAGGAACTAGACCAGGGGGGCCACCAGTAATACTTCCGCTACTGAAAGCATTTTCCTCCTGAAAGAGGTGTTTAGTGTGAAGGAGGCCAAGAGGAATCCGGGCCTTTTACCTGAGCAGATCTCGAGCCACATCCTCCTCGTTGACCGCGTATCCCCGGGCGTCATCGGTAAAGCTGAAACCGGTGCCCACCTGGAGGTGAAACAAGCGGCAGGCGTCAGCACCGAGGAGCACATGCTGTGGAGCCCGCCGCGCCCGCACTGGAAGGAAACCGACCTGCTCCGAAGGCCAGCCTGACCTCGGCAGCCCCGAGCGCTCAGGCATCCTCCCAGGACCACGCGACAGTCACCTACTTCCCCGCCCCTCCAAGGCCAAATGAAAAGCATCAGCACAAAGCTCTGCCCCCGGTCAGCGGCGNCTGTCTCTTATACACATCTAGATGTGTATAAGAGACAGATCAATGACTCTCTTGTCATTGATGTTTCTCTCTCTCTTCCTCTCTCTGAAATCAATAAAGATATATATATATTTTTAAAATGTCTTTAGGAACTAGACCAGGGGGGCCACCAGTAATACTTCCGCTACTGAAAGCATTTTCCTCCTGAAAGAGGTGTTTAGTGTGAAGGAGGCCAAGAGGAATCCGGGCCTTTTACCTGAGCAGATCTCGAGCCACATCCTCCTCGTTGACCGCGTATCCCCGGGCGTCATCGGTAAAGCTGAAACCGGTGCCCACCTGGAGGTGAAACAAGCGGCAGGCGTCAGCACCGAGGAGCACATGCTGTGGAGCCCGCCGCGCCCGCACTGGAAGGAAACCGACCTGCTCCGAAGGCCAGCCTGACCTCGGCAGCCCCGAGCGCTCAGGCATCCTCCCAGGACCACGCGACAGTCACCTACTTCCCCGCCCCTCCAAGGCCAAATGAAAAGCATCAGCACAAAGCTCTGCCCCCGGTCAGCGGCGGAGCTGTCCTGATTCCACAGTGGGGACCCTGCCAGATGTTGATTTAAGGAAGAGGAATTCACCTTTCCTTGGCCCCTGCTACAGAATCAAAAGATCCAAAGTTGTCTTCTCTCTGAAACCGGGGGTGCATTGCTGTCCTGCCAAGAAGGAACTCCTAGGCTGGAGATAAGAGATGGTGCTTGTGCGTGCGTGTGTGCGTGTGTGTGTGTTTTCATTTCCTTTTCAGTGAAAAACATACCCGCTAAGCCGCTCACCTTCAGGAGACAAGAGGCTTTAAGACAATTAAGAATTCGTTTTAAGCTCGTATTTCCTTATACCTAGACGTTCATAGACAACTGAACTTTTAGGCATAAGGAAACAAAAGAAGCTACCACTCAATTTAAATGGATGGGGGTGACATCGGTTAATAAAATTATATAGGTTGCAAGTATACAACTCTATGATACCTGATCTCTCTATTGAACTGTGAGCCCACCACCCACAGTGAAACCTCTTGTCTCATATATTTGACCCCCTTCAACCCTTTACCATGCCCCCCCCGGGCCTCCTTTTGATGAACCCAATCTCACTGGAGTCTCTTTGGCCCCTATTCTGTTGTGTTGCTAGTGTCCTTCCCGAGAATAAAAGAAATGGGGAAAAAGGGGGAAAAAATACGCTACTACTTATTCTGTGTAAATAACCTATATAAAGAAGGCACCATCCACCAGATATAAATATTTTTCCCCCAAACACCCAAGGGAACAGGACATTTCATTCAACTTCTATTTAAATATGCAATTACCGGCCAGAGTAGAGGGTGGTTGACCAGGAAGAGCCTGGACAAGAATGCTGGGCTTTTTTTTTTTTCTCCCTATTAACCTGTTTTCTTTTTGAACCATCTGGGAAGTGAGAGAAGTTAGAGAAATTAGGGGGCAAGAAATCTGCAGAAGCTGATCCTAACGTTACTCTCCTACTTTGCAGTTTATTGGACTCGATTTCAGGGGAACTTTCCAAGGAGATTTCCGCTTTTTGTTCCAAGATGAGGCATTCTGCTCACTGTGGTAAGTGAGGGAGACCAGTTTTGACTTTTTATTTCTAATTCTATTTGAAAGGTTAGGAGTCCTGCTGCTATATAATAACCCATGACATCGGGAAGTCATGTCTTCAGTGGAAAGAAACTAATCCCTCATCCTGGATGATGTAATTCAGTGAACAGGACATTTCATAAGATTAAAAATGAGGGAAGGAGAGAAAGCACGAAGCAATATCCCCAGACTCAGATATAATGATACATGTTAGAAAAACTAAATCTCAAAGACATTTTTAATAGATTAAATTCTGTGTTAGAAAGAATAAAACTAAATCTCTATTTCCTTTTCCCCCTATTTCTTAAACGTAGTGAATCAGAGGAAATAGACAAGAGGGGCCCACGTTGCCATTTCACTGGGCCACGGTACTCACTGGGTTATCGATGTACAGCATGGACAGGGTATTGGTCCAAGGAAAGTCTCGGATGCGCACTGGTGAAACAGAGAAGAGTTTCAAGAATGGGTCGGGAACCAAACATCCCACGGAAGGCCCAGCTCCGGTCCGGAGCCCAGCATGCCCACCTGTCCTCACCACGTCAGCGACTCTCGGTGCCCTTCCGATGGCTCTGTTCTCTCACAATGGGGACAGACACCAGCCCCTTCTCCTCCCCTCTCCTTTACCTTCCCCAGACCCAGAGGGTTTCTACATCTAAGATGAAGTTTGGAAACAAAACCCGTGCAACTTGTTCATGTAGAACATCCACCAACCACCCACGCGATAAGCCCATCCGTCCCATCCCAGGGATCACCCTCACATCCCGTTCTCCAATTTTGATTTTTTTTCCAAACACCGAAGACAACCACCCCAACAGAGTTGGCACACACACTCTTCTACTGAGTCACCAGCTGGTTCACCCTCCAAATCCTAACCCACAGAACATAAACAATCCACCCCCCCCCCAAAAAAAGACATGGAGGTTAAGCTGGGTTACAGCCAGAGTGGCTCCTGCTCCACTCCTTCCTCACCCCAGCCCCAACCACCACCCACCGTATCCTGCTTCCAAGATATCCGACCACTTACGTGGCCGAACCATATAGTGTTCAGCTTATATGAATAATTAGGGATATAATTCCACCCACTAGGCCCATGCAAAAGAGCTTGCCCAAGGAGTAATAAATACCACCTGTTTCCATAGCCCAGCTTGCCCGAGTTAGCAGCAGACTGCGAGGAAATAGCTTAGAATCTTTCACCCAAATTTCAAGGGAGAAAGCAGCCCAGCGGGACGCTCACCGCGGTGGCTCCTCCTTCCCGGGGAGGCATTGCCAGAAGGCTGTGTTTTTATAATCTGGAATTGCTAAGCCAGTCCTAGTGGTTCAGTTCACACTCTACCTTGCTTCTGGAGCAGATCTAAGGTTCAGATGAAGAATTCTCCATAGGAAAGTAGAGTCCAAGCAATACTTACGGGTCATGTTCTTTGTCACCATATAAGGTCCGTGTTCCACAAAGAGCCCAAACATGGATGAGCCTCCTGGCCCGCCCTGCAGCCAGAGAACCACTGGGGCATTTTCCGAGTCTACCTGTGGGGACAGAAAGGCCAATGGCCACACGGCGCTAAGGCTGTGCAATACAGACGAGCAAATTTACGCAAATCCTGTTTTTCTCAGCCTGTAATAATTCTCAGAAAGACCTCCCAGACCCCAGTGACCCTCCCACTACAAGCAAAATACTCGTCACCTTCTGTAGCTTTGAATTAGTATCTGCCTCACATCCTGGGGCCTATCTTACGCCATTGTCTTTTCTCGCCAATGGTCAGAAAACCTGTTGAATACAGAAGCTATGGGTCTGTAGGTCCCTAGACGCCCAACAGACGTCTAGGGCACAGTAACAGATTTTTAGCTGTTTAAGCTTTTGAGGGTGTCTTCCTTTCAGCCGACATGGTCCCAAAGTGGCACACAGAATCCATCGTCCTCAGTGACAATTTTCCCCCTTCAATGAGAGAGCAAATGGCCCTTTGGATTTTAGTCACTTGGAAGGTGTCCCCAGGGACAACTGCAACTTCATTCCACATGGGGAAACTGAGACAGTGGACAGGCCCCGGGTCATTTAGCCCATGCAAATGACAGTAACAAAACCCTAAAGGACGTTCAGGTTTATGTAGGAGACGTAAATGAGAAAAGGTCCTTGGTGGGGCCGGGATGCCGCAAATTGGCTGTGGGCAGCACTGTCCATAGCATCACTCTCGACGGCAGAGGCGCCTTGACTTCTTTCATTGAGCACGAACCTGCTGAGCATCTATCTCCCATGGGCCCGGCACCGTGCGAGGAGGTGCGCAGAGGAGTGAGGGAAAGAAAGCTCCTGTGCTCTCCGAGCTTACATTTCCATGGGGCATACAGACAACATGCAAGTCAATAAAACAACAGTGACGATTTAAGAGTGTGAAAAGGAAATGAGGGTGATGCTAAGAGAGTGACAAGGGCTGCGAAAGAGGGGCTTCCTTCAGGCACCTTGATCAGGGTAGGACTCAATGAGATCCTGAGAGTTGACTTGCAGGCAGAGAAGGATCTGGCCACGCAAGAGCCAGGGGACAAGGCTGAAGACAAAATGCCAGGGAAATCCTCAAGAAAGAAGGACTGGGTGCGTGAGCAGTGGGTACAGAGGCCGCCTGCACCAGTGGCTCCTCCAGAGCTGTCTGAAAGAAGCTCCCCTGGCCTCCACGGAGCTCAGATCGGGATATGACAGTGAGCCTTCTTGTGACGCCAGGGCTCGTTTGATGTTCGGTCAGCCACGCTCGGCAAGCAAGGACATTGTTGCTTTAGCCCAGAACTGAACACAGCATCCTCCTACTCGGGCCAGCCATAGAGACACATCTGCATTTGGTTAGCAGGTCTGAGAGGATTGGCTCCATCTACCTGGGTGATCTGAGAAGGCTGTGGCAGAAGGCAAGGCCAACTCAGGAGGAGGCGATCTGGGACGCCTGGCCGAGAACCTGGAGGGAGAGCTGATCCTAGCAGGTTCTAGCCATGAGGGCAGAGGGGCTAGAAGGATTTCTCTTCTTCAGCCCTGAGAGTCACACATAGAGTCCTTTAGCAGCTTTAAAAAGAGACTAAGGAGACCTTGCTGAAAGAGAGGGGGTGTATGAACAGACTCCCTATGAGGGGCTACCTCTGGGGCTCACTCTCCAGCATCAAGGACTTAAATGGGACACTATTTGTAAAGCCCTTGGAATAACACCTAATCCATGATAAAAGCACAATCAGTGTATGTGATTATTATAACTAAAGAAACAGGTAGAAAAGGTAGGAACTCAGAGTCAGACTGGGGACTCAGGTCAGCAGGCTATAGTCCCAAGATTCAGACAGTAGAATGGGTAAGTCTGTGAGCTCTTGCCCTAAACTGCATTCAAATCTGGACTTTACTGTCTATTAGCTGTGTGACTTCAGGCAAGTTTCCTAAGCTCTCTGGACTTCAGTTTCCCCACCTGTAAAATGGGGATCAATTATAGTACCTATACCATGTGGTTGTTGGGAAGGCTAAATAAATTAATTTTCAGAAAGCTCAGTAAGGGGCATATAGCACAGGTTCTGCAAATGATGGCTATTGCTATCATAGATAAATACGGAGAATATATAGGTGGTTTTAAGGTAACCCATCTCTACAGGAGAGAATAGGAGAAGAGGGTGATTTGGGATTTTTCTGTGCTCTTTTGGCCAATATCTTCCCTAGTCAGGTGGGGTTTTTTTGTTGTGTTTTTTTTTTTTACTAGTTAGTACTCTTGCCTCAAGTGTTGCAAATGTCCATAAAGAATTCAAGGGAAATAGGGACTTGTCCTATAAAGTTGAAGCAGGAAAACTTAAAATCAAAGACAACCTTTTAAAGCTGCTGCAGGAGGCAGAGTGAGCCTTGGAATTGGGAGCCAGACAGGTTCTGGTTCTACTTGGCCACATAATAGCTGTGGGGTCCCAGCCCTCAGTCTCCCCACCCATCAGATGGTGATAATGCCCACCTCCCGGGCTTGCCTGAGGCCCTGATGAAAAAATGCATCATGGCAGGATACTCTACACTCTACTGAGCTGAATAAATACAACCAGCTCCAACTGTGTGTATTTTGTTTGAATAAGTGATTTTGATCTCCCTTCAGATCCTCTAACTTGATATTCAATACCATGCTCCAGGACCACCTTGTATCCACTTGTATTCATGCAGTAGAAGAATATTAGAGGGAGAGAAACAATGGAATCTGGGTCAAATTAGTTCTAGCCTCCAGGGAATGTGATACAGTGAGTCCACCCATCCAGTGGGCGTCCAGCACCCCCACCCCAACACACACGCTTCCTTCCTTCCTAACGGGCACATGTGCTACCCCGGAGCCAGTGGTTCTCAACCTCGGCCGCCCATTCAAATAGCTTGGAGAGCTTTTTAAAAAAACCTACTGCTTAGGCCCAAATCCCAGAGCTTCCAAATCAATTGGTCCAGAGTGAACAGACATCAGTCTTTTCTAAAGCTCCCAGTTGGTTCTGTGGGTAGGTGGGGCTGAGAATCTGGGAGGGCAATGGGGGGTTGCCCTCTTGGATGCCCCGGGCCCTCTAATCTCCACTCTATCTTCCCCTGGTTTTTCGTGTCCCTTCCTGTGACCTGGCACAATGAGGGAGCTCCCAGCTCTCAGAAAAATAGCCTGACCCTGAGAGGCCACACTACAAAGTCAAGTCAAACACCTCAGTGCCAAACATCTCTATTATGCAACTTTGAAGCCCACGACACTGCATTCTTGGAATGCTTAAATACTAAGAGATCTGCAGGTACACCTCTTCCCTCAGCTGACCTTGCTCCTCAAATTTACTTTCCTGAAGGAGGTGAAGGAGCTCAACAACCCTTGAACAAGCCCATTTTTAAAGAAAACTCCATGCACACATCTCTCTTCCCTGATGGGCCGACCAACTGTGAACTAATACGGCCCTTATCCAGAATGAAATGCAGGAGTCAGATGAAGAAAATAAAGGTTTACATGTTCAATGCTAAAAACCCGTGTAAGTTACATCACAGTATGCAGGCTTCCATAACATAATATGATATTGTAATGTAATGACATATAAAAATAATTATGTCCATAAGAATGGTATAAAGCTATTATGTGATAATTCTAAGGTGATATATTTAGCTCTCAATTGTGAGATTGCAGCCCTTCTCCCACTCTCTACCCCTCACTTTGGAAAGAAAGTAACTGAAGACATGCTAAACAAAACTACATTGCAGCCCAGCTGGGCATGGCTCAGTGGTTAAGCATCGACCTAGGATCCAGGTGATCAGGGTTCGATTCCTGGTCAGGGCACATGCCCGGGTTGCAGGCTGCGGCCGATCAATGACTCTCTCATCATTGATGTTTCTGTCTCTCTCTCTCCCTCTCCTTTCCTCTCTCTGAAATCAATAAAGGTATATTTAAAAAAAAAAAGAAAGAAACTACATTGCAAAGCTTAGTATCAAATGAAGTAAAAATCTGCTTTAATTCATTTTCAGTTTTTACAAAATTTAAAACTTTAAAAATATTTATTGTTTTGAAGCTATAATTTAAGAGTGTATAAAGCAAAAGAAACGGGGCACTGATTTTTTTCAAGTTTTAAAATTTTACTTAAAACTTTTTATATTACAAAGAAAGTACTTATTCTTAACAATTATTTTCAAATAGGGTATAAAATAATTCCCCTTGCTGTACCAATCCTATTTTCTAGAGATGATCATTAGATGTTTAGTCTACAAGATTTTTCTCTATGTTCTCCCCATACATAGATCTATACATATCTTGAAATTATTACTTATGCTATTTACATAAATACTTATTTTTCAAAAATAGGATAGGCTATAAACAATACTCTGTATTTTCTGTCCTCACTTAACAACGTGCTGTGAAAATTTCCCATTACATATCAGTACATATCATCATTTGGCCGAAGAGTATGACACTGAATTTACTACAACATATTAATTCATTAAACATATAACACAGACTACTCATAGGCATTGTTTTAGAGCTGGGGATGGAGACCAGCTCCCACTCATGGACAGGTCAGATGCTGAATAATTAAGAGCATGGGTTTTGGTACCAGACTGCCAAGGTTTTGATACCATTGTAATTAGCTAGTTATTAATAATAGGAAAGGAGCAAAGGGGGAGGCCAGACATTGGAGGCATGCCATTTAGGCAGCTTCACCAGGAAGCTGCAACTTTTCACTCCCCAGGGAACCACCGGCCTATTCCCTGCAAAACACTGAGGGAAGGAATCAAACAAAGAAGAGACAGGACACATACATGTGCAGTGAAGTTGGGGTGACAGAGATCATTCACCAGGGTAGGCAGAGCCACTGCAAGCATGTGAAAATTTGGGAATACATAATCCCCTAAACAAAGAAGTTTGCTCTCTTGTGATTCCTGAATCTCTCCTGTTGCACTTCGTTTGTGGGGCTCTCTTGTTGCCCTTGGCTTATGTGACTCTTACTGCTCGTTACTCTTGGCTCTTGGGGCTCTGTTTTTCTGGCTTCCTTGCATTTGCCCGTGTTTCCTCCATAGACATGTGGCCCTGTGGACC